CACTTACTGATGAAGACCAAAGACTACAGCCTTCAAAATGGATTAAATCCCAGCATAAGGAAAACAGAAATCCTCATTAGTAGATTTAGTAAATATCCTCATTAGGAGATTAGTAAATATCATCACAATAAATAGAAAAAAGATTGAAGTTGCCAAGAATTTAATTTTACCCATATCCACAATTAACCCCCATGGAAGCAGCAGTAAGGATATCAAATGTTCTATTTCTGTGTTAGTCCAAGTTGACTAGAGAAACAAATTATAGGCACTCATATAAGAAAGAGATTTATCTAAAAGAGTAATCATATATTGAGAAAACATCCCAACCCAGTCCAGATCAAGTCCATAAATCCAATATGAGCCCACTTATTTGATACTCATTCATAAATTCCTCTTTAGACTCACACAGCCATACAATGATGCCAAATTCTGGAAGATCACTGGCCAGTGGGAGAAAAGTCTTGTAGATCCAGTGGCAGTGGAAGCATCTTAGCACTGGCGTGGATCTCCATGAGGCTCCTCCAGCTCCAGAGCTTTGGTTCCATCAGTGTGTCTCCATATGGATTGTTAATAGGAATGTCTCAAAGGGAGAGTATGTATCTGGCCTCCGTGAGCTACTTATCTCCAGTGTGCCTCCAAATGAGATCATCAAGCTGCGACCTCACTGAAGTCTAGAATCCACCCCTTCCTCAGGTTGACAGTAAATTAAGTAACTGCCACAATTGCTTGAGACAAAATTTCTGCAAACGATCTGTTTAAAATATTAATAAGCAAAGATGGCATTTTGAAACTAAGGTATGCCTGACACAAACCATCTTACTTTCATTCACCCCTTACGCTCATAAGAAGATTGAAGAAGAATTGATTATGATTTTGTTGAAGAATATTAAACATACCATTTACTGCCAGAAATGAACAAATCTTTTTGTTTAGTAGTATATACTTTTTGAAGAAGTATAGCCAGATGTCCTCTAGATGTGAGGATGATGAGACTTTTTCCGTGTATTTTGGACAGCTCCTCAAGAAGGATAAGTTCTTGGAAAATGAAAACCCAAACAAACCCATGACAAGAGGGATTGACATGCAGCAATGAGTTCAGGCATAACAATTGTTTTGCTCTGTCACACATAGGGTCCTGTGAACCAGAGGTGACTCAGTGGCACCCAGCAACATCATAACAACATGCATGAGGAATGTCCTCCACTTGACCAGCAGCTATGGACTAGAAAGCAAGTTGACCAAACACAAAGTTAAGAAGGCAGACAGGGAGGAAAGATTGGCAAATGGAAACAGAGAACTGAGGAAGTAGGGAGAGTATGATTAAATTGAGGGGATTGGAACTCGTGTCACAAAGCAAAAGATATATAAACTGTTGGATAGGAACTAATGTGCCCTGTAAACTTTCACCCAAAACACAATAAAATACAAATCTGTCTAGACCAGAGGATGTACACTAGTACAGATAGGAACTGGAAACACAGGGAATCCAGGACAAATGATCCCTTCAGGACCAGTGGTGAGAGTGGTGATACCACAGGGTGGAGGGAGGGTGGGGTGGAAAGGGGGAACTGATTTCAAGGATCCACATATAACCTCCTCTCTGGGGGACAGACAACAGAAAAGTAGGTGAAGAGAGACGTCTGCAGTGTAATATATGACAAAATAATAATAATTTATAAATTATCAAGGGTTCATGAGGGAGGGGGGAAGCAGGAAAAGATGGGGGAAAATGAGGAGCTGATACCAAGGGCTCAAGTAGAAAGCAAATATTTTGAGACTGATGAGGGCAACAAATGTACAAATGTGTTTGACACAATGGATATATGTATGGATTGTGATAAGAGTTGTATGAGCCCCCAATAAAATGATTTAAAAAATAAAATAAGAACTGCATGTGTAGCCCCCAAAAAAACCATATTTTTAAAAATTTTACTGCCTCAGATAAATGCTTCATTGATTTTCCCTTTCTTTCTTTCTTTAGCTTGCAAATCTCTTCTTTTTAGCAGAATGATAATTCTAAAGAAGGAAATGCACTAAGTACATTCTCTCACCATTGAAATTCTACATTTACTTCCTAAGCAAATAGTTAGCTGTGAGGAATCAGTTGGCATCCCTAAGCACTACCTGTAGGCACTTAATTCTTGGATTCCAATAAAATTTTGCAACATGATCTCAGTGACATTGTGCATTAAGAAATACGTCAGAACAGTATTGGTAGGGAGAGCGTAATTGTGACTATTAATCCTGTCTGTGCTTGCAGTGAAATGAGAACAAATCGGAGCTGTAGGGAAGCATTTTTACAGAAGACTCTGCATGTAGCAGAGGCCTGGACGGCTCTCCTGTATCTCATTTCCTCTCCAGGTCCCTCAATGCCACCCTCTTCCAGTGAAGCCCATAGGGAATTGTTGTTTGTTGTTGTTAGTTGTCCAACCATCTCTGACTCATGGAGATCTCATAGACAATCGAACGAGAGGCTGCTTCCCCAGCTCCATCTTCACAATTGTCAGTATGAGTATTTGTCAGACTGCACCTCCTGCTTCAGAGTCTTCGCTGTCTTCCAAATGTCTAAAGACTAGTCTCCTTCTCTTGGGATCTGCCTTTGGTCTTCAGGACCAACCTTTCCAGTCAGACTTGCTGCTTCAACAAATGCGCAGCATTTCCCTTTCTCTCCGTCACGCCTGGACTGGCAGCTGGCTGTTCTTCTTGCTGAAATCTTGCTTTTGTACTTGGAGAACCGTCAGTGCCTCCTTGTATTAGATGCTTGGCATTGCTGGAGTTGCTCTCTTGGACCTTGACTTTCTCATTTGTAAAGCGGATAATAAGAGAAGGGGTGGATGAGCTACTACCTGTAGAGTGCACCAGAGTCTGCTCTGTAGCAGTCACAGATGAGAAACATCAAGGGATCTTGTTGGTATTTGAATTGACTGGCTCATAGTCACAATTGTTGGCATGCACACCGGCATTATTGCAGCCACTGTTTAAGTACCTTGAAACCAAGGTACTTTCAACTTTCACTTTCAACTACCACATTGGAAGCAAGGAGGCATAGTGGTGGTATAGTGGGTTATTTATTGGGCTGCTAACCACAGGGTCAGTAGTGTGCCACACCAGCATCTGTAGGAGACAGGTGAGGGTTTCTACTCCTGTGAAGGGATGATATATCGAGGGTGCAATATGGCATTGAGGAAACACATATCTATCCTCTAGTTCTTTAATATTTCTTCTACTTACTATTATGGTCTTAGCTTTACCTCATTAATCTTGTTAGACCTGAATATGTTCATTTTCATAATTAAGATCATTTGATGCATGAAATCCTAGACAAACCCTTTAGAAATAGTAATGAAAGTAATGATTCCCTGAGGGTATGGGAAGAGAGGGTTGCGGAAGGGGGAACTGATCGAAATGATGACTCTATAGCCCTACTCAAGAGGAATAAAAACAGCATTGTAGGTGAATGGACACAATGGATGGTATAAGACACAGCAAATAATAATAATATGGAATATAGTAATACGCGTTCCTGCAGTTTGGGTGGGGGAGGGATGGGAAAAAGGGGGAGTTGATATCAGAGAATACAAGAAGAAAGAAAATGTTTTGAAAATGATGGTGGCAGCCATTGTACAAGGATGCTTGGTCTAATTGAATTATGGATTGGTATAGTATCTATAAGAGCTCCCAATGAAATGATTAAAAAAGAAGTAGAAGGAGAGGAAGAAGTTAGAGTCTCTGAAACCCACAGGGGCAGATCTTCTCTGTGCATTAGGGTCACTATGAGTTGGAATTTACTCAACGGCAGTGAGTGCTAGTACTAAATGAGCTGTACTCATTATGATTCACCTTATTTTCTTTGGATAACATTCAAAAGTTGATTTCCAAGCATTTCTTCTTAGTCTGGAAATTCTGCTGAAACCTGTGCACCAGGGGTGACATTGCTTGTACTTGAAATACTGGTGGAAAAGCCTCCAGCATCCTAGCAACACTCCAGCCACTTTAATATGACACACTGGCTGGTAGGATAACTGTTATTATGATTGTGACTACTGCCAACAGCCTTCAAAGTTTTGTTGAGAAGCTTTCTCTTACCTTCCCATCAGCAGGCTGAGTGAATCACTTCCCTGTACTGTGCACTTAATTCTTTATTGCCCTTCTTACATGGCTGTCTTATCACTCATGTGGGCATTGTTTGCTATCATGTTGCTGGGCAATGAAATCGTAAGTAGGGAGAAATAGAAATGGTAATGGCTCAAGGAGCTCTAATTCCTATTTTATGAATTGCCAGCAAAAGTGTGGTTAGAATACGATTGTTCATGATAAATGGGTAAATGGAGTTCTCTTTAATTCTCTGGATTTTTGCTATGCAAGTGAACAGCTAATGAGTATTTCTAATTTGTCAGGCATGGCACTAACTCTTGTAGTTACCTTGTTTTTTCTTTACCTTATCAAATGTGGTTGGTATTCATGTCACTCCCATATTGCATGTAAGAAATCGAGGGCCCAGTATTAGGTCATCTACTACTAAATTGAGTGCTGGTCATATAGATGATTTTGGGTTGGGATAGATGATTTTGGGTTGGGATGTTAACTAAAAAGTTAGCAGTTCATACTTACCAGTCACTAGGTGGAACAAAGAGGAGGCTTTCTACTCATATAAAGAGATGGAGGGTGGAGCGGGGAGGGAGGGGAAAAATGAGGACCTGGTGTCGGGGGTTTAAGTGGAGAGAAAATGTTTTGAGAATGATGTACAAATGTGCTTTACACAATTGATGTGTGTATGGATTGCGATAACAGTTGTGTGAGCCCCTAATAAAATGTTAAAAAAAAAAAAGAGTTACAGTCTTGGAAACCCACAGGGGCAATTCTACCCTCTTCTACTGAGTCACTGGGAGTCTGAACTCCTAACTCAAGAACTGCCAGCTCTGATGCACTTTTGTCTTTGGGACTGAATAGTGTGTACAATGTATTAATATCACACATTTTCTTTACTACTGGGGTTCCAGGTACTCCTTCCAAGATGAGGAAGACATGTTCATGGTGGTGGACCTGTTGCTGGGTGGGGATCTGCGTTATCACCTGCAGCAGAATGTTCGCTTCCAGGAAGACACGGTGAAGCTCTTCATCTGTGAACTTGCTATGGCCCTAGACTACCTGCAGAGCCAGCGCATCATTCATAGGTCAGTTTACTCAACAAGACACAGTTTTGAACTAACCTGTTCAATTGTATAAGTCATTATTCAGCTTGCCATGCAATCCATTACATTCATATAGCAGTCCTTCAAAATAGGTTATCATCTCCTCTTTTGCATATTAAAATACAATAATTAAAATACAATACAATTGAGTATATAGAGTTTAATTTTCCCCAGGTCAAATTAAGTTTGTAAATTACAAACTAGCATCAATGCACATTGCCTCTATCCTCTAAGTAAGCCTGGACAAAGAGGAGGAAAAGATGGGAATCATGGGTTATGTGTTGGGCAGCTAAACACAGGTGCCACTCCTCTGGAGAAGGATGAGTGTAAACATTTACAGTCTCAGAAACCCAAAGGGTAGGTCTACTCTATTTTATAGGGTCACTGTTATTGGACTGAACTTGATTACAGTGATTTTTTAAATCAAATAATTAAAATAAAAATGGAGGAGCAGCAAGGAGAGAAAGAAGCAGAAAGGAAAGAACGATAATTTTTCAGAAAGAATATTTGAGACCTTTTGATATCTGCCTATCATCCACTGTATGTTAAATAAGCTTCCTAGTGGCACAACAGGTTAAGCATTGGACTACTAACAGCAAGATTGGTATTTCAAAACCACCAGCCATTCTGTGGCAGCAAACTGAGGCTATAAATCAGAGTCCACTCTAAAAAAGTAGATTTGTGTACTCCTATGTGTACTGCATATAGAAGTCTACAGGAACAATGTCTCACCCAGAGTGAGGCATTTCCAATAAGTGTAAAACCAATCAGATAATCAACAGGAAAAGATAATATAGTATTGAAGAAATGGCATGTGTGTCCTATCTGACCTCGTCTGCCTACAAAAGGGAGAAGAAGAATTCAATTCCATACCAGCCCAAGGCTGATGGCCAAAAGACAGAGGTCAGATATGCCTACACCCTCCATCCTTCTTGTGCTCAGTTCTGACACCAGTCCCTTGCACAGTTCTGTGATTTTCTGCTGGATTTGATAATTGGTTGTAGAGGCTACACAGAACTCACAGACCATACTCACAAGTGTGGGGTTTGTTGGGGGGAGTGAACAGCTTATCACATGTTAGAAGATATTAAGGTACAGTCATTGTTCCACAGAAGTACCTCAGCTCTGTCCCACGATCTCCACGCAGAGCCCTCTGGTGCCTCCGCCGCTTCAAGCAGGGAACTCACATACACTCCACTGGTCACTTTCTTGATGGATTGTTCCAGTTTATGCTTCTGAGATGGTTCTCTTATACTCTGAGGAATGGCAAAACTGATGAATACCTGAGTGTGAGTCCTCTGTACTTAATTCTCATCTTATCATTTGATAGGATATGCAGAGACATGGTTCAAAGAGCCACAGTTAAGCAATTTCACTTCACCAGTTGCATTTGTAAAATGTGCACTTTTGGTGATGATTTTAAATATCGTAGCTCAATCTCTTTTCTAATGTGTGACAAGTAATCAGAGCACATATGCTTATAGTTCAGTATGGATTATGAGAAAAGCATTATTTAGAAATATTAAATATCATCACGTGATTTTAAGTAAAAATAATTGTGAATCTAATCACCATTATAAATTACATATATAAATTATATACATCATTTAATTAAACCTCATTAAAGGAAAAAGAATGACTTTCTCCTTTCATCATCCTAAATTTTCAAATAATTAATTGTGAGGTTTATAAGCACAGTTATGTCTCATTTAGTTAAAAAAATGGTTAAATAAAATACTTAACTTCCATTAGTTGAAGCTTGTCTGGAATTTATCTAGATCTATACAGAGCATGTAGATGAAGATGTACCATTACAGTTTACATATTCTTTATGTACTCAATTATGGACCAATCCTTTTCTTTTTCTTTGGTGGTGGGGACAGGGAAGGGATTGTGGCAAGGGGATGAGAGGGTTTTAGTCCTATACACTCTATCCCCAAATCCACTGATGTGGGTTAATATTGGCTTCTAGGGACCAGTTAGGACAGATCAGAACTGTTTTATGGGTTTTCAAAGGCTGTGGATCTTTGGGGGAACAGATAGCTTCATCTTTCTCCCATGCTGGGTTTGAACTGACAACCTTGAAGTTAGCAGCCCAATGCTAACCACCTGTTACACTGGGAATCTACACATTTACATAGCTATTATTTAATTTTCTCACTCCAGAAGGGCTTATTTATAATGGAAAAGTACTCTTCCGGTCACGGATAAATGGAAAGCAGACCAATTAATCATGTAGACTCTCAGAAGTGAATTTACACACCTGGTGTTTTGTCAATATCTGAAGATCTCATTCACAGAACCACCTTTTCCCTTGTGTTAGACCAGGTTGACTGGAGAGAGAAAACTCCGGTGACACTCGTGTATGTGTGAATGAAAGCGTTTTATATCAAGAAGTAATTCTATATCAAGAAAGCATCCCAGCCAGTCAAACTCAAGTCCAGAAGTCCAGCACTGGTCTATTGGTCCAATCCTAGCCCAGAAGTCCCTCTTGAGACTCTTGGAGCACATGCAATGATGCAGAATGCAGGAAGAGCACAGGCCGGAGGGTGCAGAGTCGTGTGGCTCCACGGTCGGTGGAAACGTGGCAGGGCTCCAGCAGCTCTCGCGGGGGCCAGCCAGCAGGAAGATGAGGGGGGAAAGGATGGGTCCCAGAGTTCTTGCTTGTAAGCAAGCCACACCCTTGAGGACACAGCATCAGGCTGTGACCTGATTGAGAGCCAGCAGTGTCTAGTTGACATAAAATCATCTGACTGCCACTCCCCTGGACTGGCTTTCTGATCCTTAAAGGTCCGTTCTGATTAGAAGCTCTTCATATGTGTAGTTTGTGGATTTCCTCCCAGAGCATTCATTCATATTCATTCTCTGAAATATTGCTAACCTCAACCTGTTATTTTGTTTACTTGCATCACACATATCAGAAAAGAGACGGTTACTATGAGAAGCCAACAGGACCTCAGTGTGACCTTCGCACGTTCTTTCTCCTTTCCCTGTTTAAATGTGGGGTCCATGTCTGCTCCTCATGGCCCCCTTGCCTCTGTCATTGCAAGGCAGGATGCTCTGGGCACTTCTCCCACGGGCTAAGAACAGGATCCCAAGGAAAGCTTCGGGGGTGGGGGGAACAAGCAAACAACTTTATACAAGTTTTATCGTCACAGAGTTTATTAATACCAAATACCTTTTATCCTATGTGCCCCTCCCTCTGTATAGTTCTATCTCCCAACATGAATGCAATTGTGCCCGTAAAGCAGAAACGAAAGGTTCGTTCTCTTTCCTTGTACGCTATGTGTCCAGAGTTGTCGCTTAATTTTCATCTTCCAAAGGACCTGCTTATCCTGAAATATCCCCTCATCATAGCAATGAAATAGAAGGTCAAGATAGTGGCACTTTATTGAGTCCTTGGTGAAAGTTTATACAGCAAATTAGGTCCTTATTAGCTACTATGCACCTTCGGTGACACATTGAATACAGTGTCTCCATAGTCCCTTTAACTACGCTCTGCTTGTTCCCTTTCTGGCAGTATGAGGTCCCTGCCTCCCCATCTTCTCCTCTTTGCTCGTTAGAAATTCATGACCTTTTAGTCTAATACTGATGGTTTTAATGAAGGGCACCAATCTTACAGGCAATTTCCTTTACTCTTTTTTGGCCAGTCTGCTCTTTCATTAAAAGGTGACCTCCAAATTGGGTTCAGATGTAGGTTTAAAGAATGTCTCAGGGTGGTAAGCTCATCTCACAGTCTTTCTTTCTCTACTGTTTCAAGTTTTCTTTATGTTTTTAAATAATAGGAATTTGAATTCTGATCCATATTTTCTCCCCCTTCTATCTGGGACTACTAGGCCCCTAGTCAGAATGATCAGTGGTGACAGCCAAGCACAGTCTAGTTCTTTTGTTCTTAGAGCACAGGAAATTGTGTTGCTCCTGTGGACTTGTGAGTTTGCTGGAGTTTTGATTACCTTCTTACATTTGCTGGTGGTTTAAATAGCTGTTTGCCATCTTTTAAGATCCCAAATGCTATTCACCTCATTAGGGTGCGGCACAGTGAAAATTTGAGTGCTCTATTAAAAGGATGAGGAGCCTTGGTGGTTTAGTGGTTTTCAAATGGGGCTGCAATCCAGAAGGTTGGCAGTTTGAAACCATTAGTGACTCCACTGGAGAAAGATGGGACTTTCTACTCCCATGAAGAGTTGTGATCACTATAAGTCATCATCAATTCGATGGCAGCGAGAGTAAGCAAAAGATTAAAAAGGAGTGACAACAGCAAAACCCATAATAATCTCCTCCCTCTCTTTCTCTAAATATATATATATATATATATATATATATGTGTGTATATCTAAATGTATGCATAATGAAATAAGTATTTTCTTTCTTTTTTTTTTTTTTAGTATTTTATTTCTTAAAATGCTTTGATAATGAGACCTTTCTGCATTCATGCAACCAGCAAATGGTTGCCATAAATGTGGTTTCTACTCATGGTGAACCCATGTTTGTCCTAGTGGATCTGTGCTCCATTGGATTTTCAGTGGCTGATTTTTCAGAAGTCGATTGCCAGGCCTTTATTTCAAGCATCTCAGAGCATACTCAAACTTCCAACCTCTCAGTTAACAGCTGACAGAATTTACTGTTTGCACCATCCAAGGATTCTGTCCTCAGCATTCCAGATACCTATGTGAACTTTCATCAATCTGAAATGATATAAAATGGCTTAAAATGCATGTACATGGTTGAATATTAATTTAAATGATAATAATGTTGCAACTCAGACTTGAGATTCATGATGAGTCTCACAAAGCTAAAAGCACAAAGAACAATACAGGGAAAAAATACAGGCTTCTGCGAATTACAATGCTATTTAAAATATTTCCCTTCAAAAGAATCAACAAAATTAGCACTGTATTTCATTGAATCTAAGATGATAAAACAACCCATTCATTACTTAGAAGACCTCCATGGGATATAAAAGATCATGAATCCAAAGATAT